ATCTTCCTCAGGCCTGAAAGCCATATTTTTGAGCAACCCAAACTCGCAGCTTTAATTTATGTAACCTCATATTTTTATTCACAAATTGAACAGAAACTACAAACTTGACATCAAACTTTAAATTTGGACACAAACAAACAAAAAACCCCGCAGAAAACAGCCTCTACCAGAGTTTCGACTGGAAATCCAGAGTTTCGACACAGGTTTGCCAGTCGACTCGTCTTTCTCCTCTCCCGCGCTGCACCGCCTGCATCTTTTTCCTGCTTCCACCCGCCATCTTGCCTGCTTCCGCCCGCGCTTAAAAAACCTTGCGCATACCTTTTCTTCCGCCCGCGGTTGAAACACAGAGACGACTGGGGACGAGTCAGATCTGATATACAAACTCTCGCTTTCGGCTCGAGTTTGGTATATCAGATAAAGATCGGCTGCTTATGCATGTTTTATCTAGTACATATATATGTATTGTATTTCTATTTGAAAATTAAGGCAACGTTCCGAATTTATGCTATTCCTTGGCGTATTGAAGTTAATATTTCAATCAACAAACAACAGGCAAGCCGAGTCTATTTAATAATGTTTGAGTGTTTACAACAAAAGGGTGATCCTGTATGTTTGTATAATACATACTGAATTATTAAAATATGCACAATAGAATAAAAATTGCACTACAGGGCGTATGAAAAAAAACGCAACCTCGGAATTTCCCAAGAAATCGACATTGTTTTAAAGACAAAAGATTTTAGGCGCCTGAGAATTTAAAATAGCACAACTGTCAAAATTACTGCACACGCGAATGCATAAAGTAAAATTTATGCATTTATTTAATGCACAACAACACTAATATCATCTACAGGGTGTATAAAAAAAAACGCAACCTCGGAATTTCCCAAGAAATCGACATTGTTTTGAAGACAAAAGATTTTTGGCGCCTGGGAATTTAAAATAGCACAACTGTCAAAATCACTGCACACGCGAGTGCATAAAGCAAAATTTATGCATTTATTTAATGCACAACAACAGTAATATGATCTATAATTAGCAATTCGATTTCAATTCCCAGGGGCCTTAAGGTCCAGTTACACGTGCGATTTTTTTCTCGCGCCGGCAACGCAACGGGTTAAATTTCATTGCGTTACTCGCGCGAGTGATGAAATTGCCCGTGTAACATATCTGGCGCGGTAATGCAATTGCAACCCGATATTCTCGGCAATCGTTGCGGAAAGTTGAAATGCTTGAACTTTCGGCAACGATTGCCGAAAATATCGAATTACCCAGGCATTGTTTGAGCAGGAAACGCATGGGCTATTTTAAGATAGCCAATGAAATTAACTTCTGTACGGACAGCGTGCTAGCCTGTAGCGCTGCCAAATATTAATTCACGCATTATTGTGTCTTTCTTGTAAAGCGTTTCAGATAGATTATCAACTATCTTTTTGAAATGATCAAAATTCATCCGCATTAATTTTTCAAATCCTGGTGTGTCGTGGGCAGCCAGATCGGGAAGAAGCTGACCGAAATAACCTTTGTTTTTTCTCTCTAGAAGCCAGTGCCGGCTCCAAACACGTTTCTTTTCTTTAACCTCCTCGTCATCTTCTTCCAGCAAAAGCATTGCAGCTATGACCACAAGTTCTTTCTTCGACGCTATGTTGTTGTCAGTGACGTTTGCGAATTGCGAAACACTAGTGCCCGGTTTTTTCACGCAAGTAGTTGCGACGCGGCTAAGCTATCATTGCTCGTGTCACCACTTCACTCGCGCGAGTAACGAAATGAAATTTAACCCGTTGCAAAGGCGTTGCGTTGCCGGCGCGAGAAAAAAATCGCACGTGTAACTGGACCTTTAAATCTTTTATGCTTAAGAGTTGCAAAGTGATTTCTTAGGAAATTCCGAGGTTGCGTTTTTTTTGATACACCCTGTATTAGCAATTCGATTTCAATTCCCAGGGGCCTAAAATCTTTTATGCTTAAGAATTGCAAAATGATTTCTCAGGAAATTCCGAGGTTGCGTTTTTTTATACACCCTGTATACCTTTTCCAAAGAGATTGTTGTCGCAGTGGTAGTACTTGTTTCGGTCGCCATCATGAAAATGCTGTACGCGCCAAACACAGAAAATCGCCACAAAAGTCGACGAAAAATGCCAAAAAAATATAGAAAAAAGTCGAGACGAGACGCGAGAAAAAATTTTAGACGCGAGAAAAAAAGTTAGACGCGAGAAAAAATTTCAGACACGAGAAAAAAAGTTAGACGCGAGAAAAAATTTCAGACACGAGAAAAAAAGTTAGACGCGAGAAAAAATTTTTCTTAAGGAAGTTAGTGTTTGGTTTTGATAAGTGAAGTTTTCGTTCGTTACTTCTCAATGCATAATTGTCGTTCTGGGACATAGTAAACATTTCTGTTAAATATTTTGGTGTCATTTTGTTAATTGCCTTAAATGTCATTGT